GCATTGGCCTGCAGACCGAAGGGTCCCGGGTTTGAATCCGGTCAAAGGCATGTACCTCGGTTGCAGGCTCCTCCCCAGCCCAGGCCCTGGTGGACGAGGCTTGTACAGAAGGCAACCAATCGATGTGTTTCTCGCACATTGATATTTCTCTGTCTTTCCCTCTCTCTTCCACTCTCCCTAAAAATCGATGGAAAATATCCTCGGGTGAGAAATTTTAAAAAATCACACCTTTATTCTGCGTATTTCACCCTAAATACTCCTGCCCACTCTAAGGTTATCTATAATAATAAAAGCATAATATGCTAATTAGACCGGCCGGAAGCCAGGGCTGTGAGGGCCGAGCCCCTTGCACGAATTTCATGCATCGGGGCCTCTCGTGTCTAAATTAAAGTTTCATCTGCTCCCGACGCATTCTGGGATATGTGCACGGGCTTTTTAAAAAGTTCCTTAATTAATTGAACATTTCTTTTCCACCCTGGAGAGCTGCGATGAAGCTTAGAGCCGTCCGGCCAGCCCGTGTGAGCAGCGGGACAGAGCCCGGCTCGCCGATGCCTTTGTGGTCTTCAAACGCCCTCTCCCCCTCCCCACGATAAATTGACTCCTCTGCACTCACTCTCTTAGCTCAATGGCTCAGGTTTGCACGGCGGGGCCGAGCCTGTGAGTGAAATTTGTCATCTTAATGCCGCCTGGAATGTGAAGGGAGAAAAGGAAATGACCCATCAAAGCAGAGGCCCGCCCCACCTGCGCCGAGACAAACACCCCGAGATACAGCAAAGTTTCTGGGTCCTGACCCTAATTTCTCAGCAGACATAACGGGTAAAATATGGGGCATCGGGGTTTTGTTATGTTTCTCCTTCCTCCCCAAGGATCGGAACCTTTTACTATTTCTATGTTGATTCATTCATAGGTTCTCTCTCTCCCTCAACCCCCCTCCTCCTGTTGCCCCCCCAAACCCACAGCATTCTTCCAGATAGTGACTTCCCTCTGAAACACACACGTTATTACTGGTGAAAACAATGTGTGATATTTAACTTTGACATATACTGAATTTCATTAAGAAACCAGCTTGGCCCTAGCCGGTGTGGCTCAGTGGATAGAGCGCCGGCCTGCGGACTGAAGGGTCCTGGGCTCGATTCACTTCAAGAGCACATGCCTGGGTTGCGGGCTCAATCCTCAGGAGGGGGCATGCAGGAGGCAGTCCATCTATGATTCTCTCTCATCATTGATGTTTCTATCTCTCTCTCTCCCTCTCCCTTCCTCTCTGAAATCAATAAAAATATGTATTTTTTTAAAAAACGAATAAATGGCTCTTACCTGGAATGGATTGCTAGCAAAAGGACCGTGCCAAACTTACCCCAGATTAAAACGATGTACCCAAGTGGATTACAGCTTGACCAATATCAAAGTAATCCTTTGGGTGTAATAAAATACCAAAAATGTTTTTTTTTTTAAAGATAAAAATTCAAGAGGGGCAGTGAGAA